GTGTGTGTGTGTGTGTGTCTTTGTCAGGCTTGCTGGGATCAGCTCCAGCTCCCCTGCGACTCTGTGCTGGATAAATCTGTCAGAAGATGGCTGCATGGCGGCTGCATGGCCGCTGTTGTGCTGTCCGGGCCGGAGTGGGAATTCTGGGGAAGCATGTTTCTCACAGAGCGTCGCTGCCTCTGTCTGTCCCAGCTGTTCGGCGCCCTGCTCAGAGGCTGCTGCGCCGACCTCTCCCACCTGAACCTCTCCAGGAACACCTTCTCCCACAAGTAAGACACCCGCCGGCGCCACCCCCTGGTCACCGCCAGCGCGCGGGGTCACGCGCCCCCACTGAGACCTGTCCTCTCCCTGCAGGAGGGCCAAGGAGACTCTGCCCTCCTTCCGGCAGTTCTTCAGCTCCGCCTTCAGCCTCGCCCACGTCAGCCTGGCGGGGATGAGACTGCCCCCCGAAGCCCTCAGGTAGGAAACTTGGCCTCGTGCTGGGGTCTGCCGACCCCCCCTCTTCTCCAGTGGGGCGGCACGAGACGCAGGAGCCGAAATGGCCGATGAGCGGCCGCAGCTTCTTAACTTGGGAGGTGTTACCGATTCAATTGTAACGCTTCTGGCCAGTTGGAAAATGGAGCCAAAATGGTGGCTATGTGCACGCAGTTTCCCTTTCGGCTCTGAAGTAGCCTCTCTTTCTCATTAGGATTGATGGTGATTTCTAGAATGTCTGAAAGGGTGTTGCTTTCATATTATCCTGATACTTCTTGGTGTCTCTCTTTCCTCCCTCGCTGTCCTCTCTCTCAGGGCTCTCTTTCTAGGCCTGTCCTCGAACCCTCATGTCAATGATCTTCACCTGGATATCAGTGGCTGTGAGGTACCTGACTCTGTCTCACCATGTCCCTGTCTCTCTCTCTGTCTGTCTGTCTCGCTGTGCCTGTCTGTCAGTTTCTCTGTGCCCGCTGTGTCTGTCTGTCTCTCTGTGTGGCTGTGTCTGTCTGTCTCTCTGTGTGACCCTGTGTCTGCCTGCTTGTCTGTCTCTCTGTGTGCCACTGTGTCTGCCTGCTTGTCTGTCTCTCTGTGTGCCACTGTGTCTGCCTGCTTGTCTGTCTCTCTGTGTGCTGCTGTCTGTCTGCCTGCTTGTCTGTCTCTCTGTGTGCCACTGTGTCTGTCTGCCTGCTTGTCTGTCTCTCTGTGTGCTGCTGTGTCTGTCTGTCTGCCTGCCTGCCTGTCTCTCTTTGAACCGCTGTGTCTGTCTGCCTGCCGGTCTGTCTCTCTGTGTGCCGATGTGTCTGTCTGTCTGTCTCTCTGTGTGACCCTGTGTCTCTCTGCGTGCCTGCCTATTTGTGACCCTGTGTCTGCCTGTCTGTCTATCCCTCTGTGTGCCACTGTCTGTCTGTCTGTCTGTCTGTCTGTCTGTCTGTCTGTCTGTCTGTCTGTCTGTCTGTCTGTCTGTCTGTCTGTGTGCCGCTGTGTCTGTCTGTCTGTCACTGTACCTACTGTGTCACAAGGTCCTAACTGCAACAATGTGTGTACATGTGTGAGCGTGTGTTGCATGTGTATACACATGTGTGTGTTGTCTGAGTCTTTCCTCACAATCATCAGAGGGAATGTGTGTTATTCTGCCCCTCTCCATCATTCTCTCTCTTTTCTCTCG